CCAAAGCCTTGGCCCCGACCTTGGCTAACATGTCATGCCACGGCCGTGGCCAGTAGCACGCCATGCCACGGCCTTGGCCAGCCGCAGCATGCCGTGCCTAGTCCTTGGCCAGCAGCATGCCATGCCATGCCATGCGACGGCCTTGGCCTGCAACATGCCATGCGAAAGCCTTTGCTAGCAGCATGGCAAGCCCAAGCCTTGGGCAGCAGCTTGCCATGCCAATGCCTTGGCCAGTAGCATGCCTTGCCACGGCCTCGTCCAGCAGAATGGCATGCCATGCCACGGCCTTGGCCATCAGCATGCCTTGCCACGGCCTTGTCTAGCAGCATGGCATGCCCCGGCCTTGGCCAGCAGCATATCATGCCACGGCCTTGGCAAGCATGCCAAGCTACGGCCTTGGCATACATGCCATGTCCCTCGGGTAATTGTACAAGTTGCCTTGCGAAATGCATGTCCCTCGGTTAAATTGCCATTTGGTTGGCTTTGACGTGCGAACGAGTTGCCTGTGCATTCCTTGTGGAAGCTTGTTGCGAGAATTATGTCCCTCAAAAGTTGCCTGTTGCGTTTGTTTTTTGCATTCGCGCTAACCGATGCTTGCTCGGCTTCTCTAAATGTTTTCGCGCGTTCGTCGGGCTTCTTAGTCCTTCGGGGGGTGATTCGTTTTGGGGGGCTGGTGCATAGTGTACGTCGTGGCGCGTGAGTTGTGTTTGGTTTCTGCGAGTTGGACGAATCCTTGCTTGTGCAGCGAACTCCACTGGTGCATTCCTCCATGTCCCTCGGGTAAATGCCTTTAGGTTGTCTTCGACTCGCCTTCGAGTTGCCTGCGCTTCCCTAGTAGAAGGTGCCTTGCGAAAAGCTTGTCCCTCGGTTAATTGCCATTTGGTTGGCTTTGACTTACGAACGAGTTGCCTGCGCTTTCCCAGTGGAAGGTTATCGTGAAAGTTATGTCCCCCAGAAGTTGCCTGTTGCCTTTTGTTATTTGCAGTCGCGCTAACCGGTGCTTGCTCGGCTTCTCCAAATGTTTTCTCACGTTCGTCGGGCTTCTTAGTCCTGCGAGGTGTGATTCATTTCGGGCGGCGAGTGCGTAGTGTACGTTGCGGCGCGTGAGTTGTGTTTGGTTTGTGCGAGTTGGATGGATCCCTGCCTGTGCAAGGAACTCCACTGGTGCATTCCTCTTCATCATCCGCGGGATTCCTACAGGTTGCCTGCGCTTTCCCCAGTGGAAAAGGTCCTTACGAAAAGTTATGTCCCTCGGTTAATTGTCGTTCGGTTGGCTTTGACTTGCCTACGAGTTTCTTGCGCTCTCTCCTAGTGGAAGCTCCTTGCGAAAGTTTATGTCCCTCAGTTGGTAGCCATCCGGTTGGCTTTGACTTGCCTACAAGCTAGTTTTTACGCTTCCCTAGTGGAAGGTTCCTTGCGAAAAGCATGTCCCTCGGGTAATTGCCATTTCGTTGGCTTTGACTTGCGAACGAGCTGTCTATGCTTTCCAAGTGGAAGCTTGTTGCGAAAAGTATGTCCCTCGGAAGTTTTACACGTTGCCTTTGTTACTTGCAGTCGCGCTAACCGGTGCTTGCTCGGCTTCTCTGAATGTTCTCGCACGTTCGTCTGGCTTCTTAGTCCTTCGGGGTGTGATTCGTTTCGGGCGGCTGGTGCGTAGTGTACGTCGTGGCGCGTGAGTTGTGTTTGGTTTGTGCGAGTTGGATAGATCCCTACCTGTGCAGCGAACTCCACTGGTGCATTCCTCTTCATCATCCGCGGGATTCCTACCGGTTGCCTGCGCTTTCCCTAGTGGAAAAGGTCGTTGCGAAAAGTTATGTCCCCCGGTTAATTGCCGTTCAGTTGGCTTTGACTTGCCTACGAGTTGCCTGCGCTCTCCTAGTGGAAGCTCCTTGCGAAAATTTATGTCCCTCGGTTGGTAGCCATCCGGTTGGCTTTGACTTGCCTACAAGCTAGTTGCCTACGCTTCCCCAGTGGAAGGCGCCTTGCGAAAAGCATGTCCCTCGGGTAATTTCCATTTCGTTGGCTTTGACTTGCGAACGAGCTGCCTACACTTTCCAAGTGGAAGCTTGTTACGAAAAGTATGTCCCTCGGAAGTTTTGCACGTTGCCTTTGTTACCTGCAGTCGCGCTAACCGGTGCTTGCTCGGCTTCTCTAAATGTTCTACGTTCGTCTGGCTTCTTAGTTGTTCGGGGTGTGATTCGTTTCAGGCGGCTGGTGCGTAGTGTACGTCGTGGCGCGTGAGTTGTGTTTGGTTTGTGCGAGTTGGATGGATCCCTGCCTGTGCAGCAAACTCCTCTGGTGCATTCCTCTTCATTTGTGCTTGGGGGCAAAATCTTGCCTTCTACCTCGCGTGGGTTCCTGTGTTGCCTACCTAAAGAAAAGGAATTCGGTCCGTACCGTGTGCCTATATTTGCCTCGCCACCTCGTGGCGCTCGGGGAACCCCAAAGTATCTCCCGTGTTCCATGCTGTCCTCTCACGTTGCCGTGTCAGTGGCATGGCCTGCGGGCAGTTATGCTCGTGCTCTCGGATTCGGAGCCTTGTGCGGGCACACGAGGTCTTCGACCTCCGTTTTCCCGCCAAGCGTTCGTCGCTTGTTGCGGGCTACGGCCGCGCCTGCCTCTGACCGTGCCAGCTCTGTCGGTCGGGCTTATGCAGTGCCGGCGTCGTAAAAAAGGAATGCTACCTGGTTGATCCTACCAGTCGTCATATGCTTGTCTCAAAGATTAAGCCATGCATGTGTAAGTATGAACTAATTCAGACTGTGAAACTGCGAATGGCTCATTAAATCAGTTATAGTTTGTTTAATGGTATTGCTACTCGGATAACCGTAGTATTTCTAGAGCTAACACGTGCAACAAACCCCGACTTCCGGAAGGGACGCATTTATTAGATAAAAGGTCGACGTGGGCTATGCCCGTTGCTCTGATGATTCATGATAACTCGACGGATCGCACGACCCTTGTGCCGGTGACGCATCATTCAAATTTCTACCCTATCAACTTTCGATGGTAGGATAGTGGCCTACTATGGTGGTGACGGGTGACGGAGAATTAGGGTTTGATTCCGGAGAGGGAGCCTAAGAAACGGCTACCACATCCGAGGAAGGCAGCAGGCGCGCAAATTAGCCAATCCTGACACGGGGAGGTAGTGACAATAAATAACAATACCGGGCTCTTTGAGTCTGGTAATTGGAATGAGTACAATCTAAATCCCTTAACGAGGATCCATTGGAGGGCAAGTCTGGGGCCAGCAGCCGCGGTAATTCCAGCTCCAATAGCCTACGCTCTGGATACATTAGCATGGGATAACATCATAGGATTTCGATCCTATTACGTTGGCCTTCGGGATCGGAGTAATGATTAACAGGGACAGTCGGGGGCATTCGTATTTCATAGTCAGAGGTGAAATTAAGCCAGCAGCATGCCATAACATGG